GGGCTGACTGGGAGTTGTGGTCACTGTGTGGCCCAGTGTTGAGAGAGAATTGGACCACATATTGCTACCCTTGCTAAAGGTCCAAATTCACAATCTGAAGATGCATCTGGCTTTTGCATCGTAAAGCTGCACACTTGTAAGTAGAACCATTGTAAGTTGGGGACCATCTGTTCTCACTAGGCTAAGATGCAGTTTGTTTACTGACATACAAACAGCTCTGGCTTTAGCAGCACTTCCTGCAAGAGGCCACCTTAAGGGCCTCTCTGTGACAATTTGAGTCTGTCCTCCTTTTCTTAAGGTTTGAACACCCCAGAATTGGCAGAACCTCCCAGCACCCTACCTAAGATAAGAATGGTGTGGCCCTGGCAAGTTCCTGCCCCCCACTGGCCTTCGTTTCCCCATGACCTGGAGATCACACAAACCCTGTCCCCGCCAAGGGGTGAGAATGGAGCCCATGCAGTGCTCAAAGCAGTGGGAGGCATCCCAGAGGCCTCTTTGACCTAGACCTGGCCTCAGTCCCCAAACCATAAAACAAACTTAAACTTTCAGCCACTGCTGTTGCTAAACCTTGACCCCTGTTGCTCATTCCTGACTCCTGTATCCTCCTGGGGCCTGGGTCGGGGATTAGGGCTGGGGATTGTGTAACAAATTGCTGAGTTCTACAAAATAGACTTTGCCTTCTGAATCATGAAGAAGGCACTCAAGTGGCTTCATAAGTCAGTGGGGCCATTATTACTAGCATGAAGTCCTGTAGGGTCACCTGACATCCAGTGTGCATATCTGTACTTGGCCGTCACCCCTCTGGCCAGGGCAGATGCAGGAGTCAGGACCTTGCTAGTTCCCTGAGGCTCACTTTTGACTCCTTGCCTCCTAAATTAATAGTGAGTCTTGTACACATCACCATCTCCCAGAGGAGGGGCTTTCTCAGTCTCGCCGATGCTCAGTGAGGAGGCAGGCTGGCCAGAAGTGTGTGTGGGGGCAGTACCAGACAGTGAAATGTCTGCTGAGATCCTTCCACCCACTTGGGTCCATTGTGGCTGGAAGGCAGAGGATAAGTCGGGAAGTAGAGACAGGGAAAGAGAGGGCCAGACAGAGGCCAGATAAGAAAGGATCTTGCAAACCACATGGGGCTTTATTTTAAGAGGGTTGGGGCACTGCTGCACCACCACCACTACCCTCATCATTAACACCATCCCCATCCATCACCACCAGTCTCTCCTCACCATCATCAGCATTAGCACTTTTGCAGCTAACACATGCTCATTGCCAAGTGTACTGAACTAAACGCTTTCATCCCTCAACCCTGTTCACAGTTCTGTGAGATACGGTAGCCACTGCTCTCCCCATTTTGCAAATGTGGCCACATAGACTCAGAAGGAATGGATGAGATAGTCAACCATGCAGAAATAAGAACCTAGGACAGGAGAGTCCATATCTCCCTGATTCCATAACCTTAGCTTTGGTTTTTAGGTTTACCGCCTCCCAAGAATGTGATTGTAGCCTTTTTCTTTCAATGCTGGGGATCGAACTGAGGGCCTTGCACAGGATAAGCAAGTGCTCTATCACTGAGCTACAACCTCAGCCCACATTTATGGTCTTAAAGTCCATTGGCTATAGAATGGCAAATAAGAATTGGGAGGTGGTGGTGGCTCATACTGGAGGTGCAGACCAGTAAGACATGATGGTTGGCATGGAAAGAAGCAGACAGATCTGGGAAATGGGACAGAATGTAAGAGAGGTGTGTTGATCCACTTGGTGAAACAGACAAAAAGATGGTATGTTGAGCACTGAGTCCCGGGTTTCTGGCACGGATGAGCTTGTGGGTGGTTGAGCAGTGCTATTTATGGAGATACGGAATGCAAGTTTTGATTAATGAATAGGTGAATGGATAATGAAGGTGTACCAAAATGGAATGGGTAGAGTTCCCCATTACTGGGTCTATGCAAGCAGTGGGGTTTAATCTAGACATTGTAGAAGATACTTCTGGTCTGAAGGGAAGACAAGTGGCAAGCAATCTATAAATGCTTCCATAAATTGTGTATGAGTGAATGCCTGGGTGGCTTCCATTGCTGTGATTATGGGACCTCCTGGGCACCAGATAGGAATTTGGTAATGGTTTATCCTTGGAGGACAATAGGGTGGGAGAGCATTTACTCTTAATACTTTCTAACCACATTTCCTGAAAATTTCCTACACAACTTGCTGAGTATATTTTATATTTTAGAATGCACATTTTAATCAATATTAGTAAGTATGCATTTTTTTTTAACTTATAGGAACCTACAATTGCTAAAGCTTGGAGACCACTGATCTCCATGACAGAAGGGAGAGGGAAGGATTGGGTCCCTCACCTGCCAAAGCTTCCCATTGCCTAAGAGACAAAGCTCAGGGGATTCAGGAATTGTGACAAACCACCGAGCTATGCAAAACTCTTCATCCATTTATTACACTATAAAGAGACATGAGATTACACAATTTGCCCCTTTCCTAACCATACGTGAGCAGCCTCCTCTGTAGAGTGTGACAGTTCTTTGGGTCTTTCACAAGACTTCTTTATCAGAGAATCAACACAAGGCACAGGAAGCTCCCCTTCCACAGACCCATTTTGACTAAAAGGAGCACAGGCTGTGGCCAGCTGTGTTCCTGCACGCACAGACCACCATGTGTTCTGCTGAGAACCGGGCACCAAAGGCACCTCCCACTGTCCATTCACAGACATCATTGTAATGTTGAGTTCTAATAGCCACTTCAGATGTCACTTGTTTTCTTTCTCGGGCTATAAGTGCATATGTTTATTGGGGAAGAGTTGTGATGGTAGGGGAAGGATTTTTTAGGGTCCTTTTTATTTATGGTGGTACTGGGGTTTGAACTGAGGGCCTGACACCTACTAAGCTGGTGCTCTATCTCTTGAGCCATTCCACCTGCCCTTTTTTCTTTCTGAGTGTTGGGTATTTTTGAGATAGATTCTCATGAACTATTTGCCTGATCTGGCTTTGAACTATGATCATCCTGATCTCTGCTTCCTGAGTAGCTAGGATTACAGGCATGAGCCACCAGTGCATGGCTTCAGGATCCTTTTTGTTATGAAATTTAGAGTTAGATTGGCCAGGATTTATGGGATCTTTACAAACCAAATCCTCTTTGGTTCCAGCCTCTCCGGGGAAAGCTAGCCAACTACCAAACCCTCATTTCCTGTTTCTCTTGCACTCAAGGCTCTGGAGTAACGTTGGATCTAAGTTAAGTGGCTTGACCTTGGAGCCTGGGCAGTCTGTTTCTTCATATCTCCCCAGGGGCTTGGTGTGGTACTGGCCACAGGAGGAGGTTTATGAAGACAAGGAGAAAAATAAACAATCCTCTGAGAAGAACCAGAGGCCTGGGACAGAGCTGTTTCTTGGCCAGGCATGCTGGCTTAGAGTCCACTTCTGTCCACCGGCCTAGGCAGAGCCTCCAGCAGGCCCCTGTTGGTTCTAATGGGAAACTAACTGGCTGGGGGAGGGGTTTCTCCATCTCTGTTTAGCTGAGGACCTGTTTGAGGGGTGGGTGCATCAGCCCAGGTGTCTTCTTCAAGGTCTTGTAAGCCCCTGGCCTCACAGGCGCAGGGTTCTTGGCCTTACTGGTGAGGCATTTGGCCTGCTGTGTAGGGAGGTTAGTACTGGAAGCAGTGTTTCATGCCCTCCACTGAACCCAGAACTTCTGTTCTCTGGGTCACTCTCAAATAAGCCACTCACTGGCACCCCTGACCACTGAGACACAGACCATCGTGAAGCAGTCTGTACACCCCCAGACAGTCAGGGCTTGAGCACTGTGGTGCCCTGGGAAGGTCCAATAAGAAATGGCTCTCCCTGCCTCATTGCAAACCGAACATTGAAGGGGTGGCTTCCCTGCAAGTGCTTGAGTATGCATGGGTGTGGGTGATGGTGTGGAAGGGTGCAAGGGAGCCAATAGTCTTGGATACCTGCTGGCATGCACTGCACCCCACCTGTGCCTTCCAGTACCTAATCTCCAGAGAGCGGTTTCTAAACCTTTGTGTCTTTTCCTTACAATAAATGTATCCCCGTGCAGAGTGCGTAGTTACACTTACATGGTACCTTTGGCTTTTCAAAGTATTTTGATGCCTGCTGTCTCCTTTAATCCTCATAACAACCTCTCATTACAGAAGAGGAAACTGAGGTGGGGACAAGGCAATTATGCATCTGGTAATGGGCTGAGCTGGGACCGCAGGCTCCTTGCTGTACTACTCTCTGTTGTGCTCACAGTGCCCTGTGCGCTGCCCATGTCTTATGAACAGCCTTCTGGTGAATGCAAGTGCTCACACACTCCCACCTGAGATTTGGGTTCAAGACAAAGACCGCATTGTCTCTTTCTTCCCTCTTGCCCACAGTGTTCAGTGCTGTGTATATAGAAAGTATTCAATAAGTGTGTATTTGGGTTCATCTTTTGCATAGACAGGCTTGTCCATTGGTGACAGGAGTCACAGAGTCTTGGTTTCTGGGTCCTTTTCAGGGACTTCAGAGTTTAGCCATCACTTATGTGAGAAGCCATCCTCCAAAGTTCTAACTGCATGGATTGATGACAGCCTGGCCCTGTCTGCCAGGGTATGCAACCTGGGTGGCAGTTCTCCTGGAGATCCAAGCTATCATTCTGGGGCTGAGAGGGACACCATGTGGGAGGGAAGCTCTGTCACTCCTATCCCCGCCCCAGATCCCCTCACTCTTGGGAAGGAGCAGCCTCACCAGAAGGTCAGAAAATAAGAATCACACTGTGGAGGTTCTGGAATCCGTGACTGGGCACCAGGCACCTCATCCCCTCAGTGAGCTCATGCAGTAGGGCAGGGCAGGAATTACTCAGCTCTGCTTCCCTGGAGACACAGACTCATTGCCCAGGGTCCTAGAGGATGCCCTGGGGCCCTTCCTGGGATCTCTGAGGAGGAGCACTGAGGAGCACTGTCCATCAGTCCTCATTTACATCAACAGTCGCCCTGGTGGCGTCCGACCATCCCCTCACTGACTGCTGCCCGCCCAGTCCTGCAGTTTGTGAATCTGGCGCTCCACAGAGATGGAGGTACGCAGGGTGCCCATGGAGTTCTCTGTCTGGACGGGCTCGGCCACACAGCCTCCTTTCCCGCGGCACACACCGCGGTACAGCTCCCAGGACTTCTTCCGGAAGCGCTTGCCCACCATCACGTACACCAGCGGGTTGAGGCAGCTGTTGCTGTAGGCCACGAAGGAGCTGATCTGTGTGATGACGTCAATGATGTGCTGGTGCCAGCAGCCCGACAGGACGTTGAGGTGCAGCAGCGTGTCCAGGAAGGTGCTGATCTGGAAGGGCAACCAGCACACGACGAAAAGCAGCAGCACGGCCAGCACCAGCACGGTGGCCTTCCTCTCCGTCTGGATCTCCTTGAACTTCTGCATCTCGTTGTTACGCAGTACCTGCATGATCTGCACCGTGCAGAAGGTGATGACGCTCAGGGGCAGCAGGAAACCCACCAGGTTCAAGAGGACGTTGGTGAACACCTGCCAGGTGAGGGTGGGGTAGGCGATGAGGCACACAGTGACATTGTAGCCCTCCTCGTTGTACTCCTTCATGGTCCTGAACACCAGCATGGGCGAGCTGAGCAGCAGGGTGCAGCCCCAGATCACCAGGCTGTAGAGCTTAGCCCAGCGCACACGGCGCATCCGGCCCACGGACATGGTTTTCACCAGGGCCAGATAGCGGTCAATGCTCACCAGCATCAGGAAGCAGATGCTACTGTACAGGTTCATGTAGATCATGGCGTTCACCACGCGGCACAGGACCTCTCCGAAGAGCCAGTCAAAGTTGTTGGCGATGGTGATGGCCCAGAAGGGCAGCCCAAAGGCCAAGATCAGGTCCGCGGCCGCCAGGTTCCCCAAGTAGATCTCTGCCACCGTGCAGCTGCTCTTGTGCAGGCAGAAGACGCTGAGGACAAAGATGTTCTCCAGCGCAGCCAGCAGGAACAGGACCCAGAGGAAAGGGGCCTGGGTGGCATTGATCCATTCCAGCCACTTGGCGTCCGGGCAGTCGTCCTGTGAAAGGGTCCCATTAAGGGCTGATGTGAGGACATGCGAGGTGATGTTGACCATCTCGGTGCTGAAAGGCGGAAAGAGCTGTTAGACACCCACCTGGGTCACAAGGGGAAAGAAACAACTGCCCCATCTACTTGGCTAAGCGACGCCCCAAGACACTCAGCCAGGACAAGGGAGGGAGGTAGGACTCGGGGTCCTCACTGCTGGCACTAGAAGACCCCTGACTCCTGGGCCTTGAGAGCCCCTCTGCCCTGGGCTCTAACGGGACACCTCATGCCTGTGCCTCGAAGCCCCCCCTGGGATGCTTCCTGGGCCAGCAACCATCAACAATAACCATGAGTCTTGGGCCCTGACCTCCTGGAAGCTCCCACCGTGAGAGGACGCACAGCCTGTCCTCTCCTCACCACCCAGGCCCTCCCAAGGGGGCAGGTTATCATTCAGACTCTCAAAGCCATTTCATAGGTGAGCAATTAATTAGACGAGAAAAATGATGTCATGACAGACAAGGAGATTCCAGCCTGACCCTGAGACTGCAGCCCATCTGCTCCAGGCTGGGACTTCCTGCTCTCCACAGCCTGCCTCTTCTGGCAAAGGGCAGCATCTTATACCACACTCCCACCAGCCAAGCAATGAAGACCATCTCAGGAGGCACAATGGAGAGGAAAGGTGGGGCTTTAGAGCCCAAGATCCTCCTAAGTTTAAAACCTCGTTCCACTATTTATTAGCTGTGTGACCTTAGAGAAGTCCATAGCTTCTCTGAACCTCAATGACCTAACCAGTAAAATGGAAATAATAAAAGTTCACTTCTTAGGATTGTGGTGGAGACCTGAGACAATATGCAAAAAGCCCCAAGCTCTGCATTCAGTTCAATAAGCATGAATAATCGTCTATTTTTTTTTCAACCTATTATCAAATTCCAGCACTACTGTTTGCAAGTTCTTGCTTTTGTATTGGCGACCTCATCATAACCCACAGATTCCTCTTTCACTCTTAGGTGAGACAGACCAGGGGATCAGTCACTTTCTGGAAGTACTTGCTGTGAAGGCTAATTCATCTCTACCTTTAGCAAAGAGGCACGGGTTTTGGACAGACTTGGGTTCCAACCCTAGCTGTGTGGCCTTGGACAAATTGCTTGATCTCTCTGAGTTTCCACTGTGCTTTCTGCAGAGTAGTGTACAATTCTCTTCCTTACTTGCCTTGCAGCATGGTGGCAAGGTACAAATTAAAGAGTGATTGTGAAGACTCATTGAAAAGCTTAAAGCACACCAAGAGGTTGGCAAAACTGGCTTCACCCTAGTACCCTGTAAGGTGGGCAAAGGGAGGAAGAGGCAAAGACCCTTCTTGGGAGGTACATTGTGGGGCAGTCAGAGAAGGAAGGGCTGAGCAACAAATCCCAGAGGCTCTGCTCAACACCTCTGGGATTTCCCAGGAAAAGCCCCTCTGTCTTCACAGCAGCTGGCGCCATCCTGGAGCCAGGCTGGGACCTGTGATTCATCCACTGATCAAAGCTTTTTATCCCGGAGAGGTTTTTGGGGTGCCTACAATGGGAGGCGCTCACCCTGGGGACAGGGATTTGGAGAGGAATTCCTCTGCCCCTACCCTGCTAGTCTAGTCCATTATGAGTGCAGAGCAGGAGGGGCACGGAATTGGGGTGAGGCAGGTGGATGAGGTTGGGTGGCTCTGGAGTTGGGTCCTGAAGGACCCAGAGTGGAAAGGGCAGGGGACATGGCTCCAGCAGAGGCTCAGGAGTGGGAAGTAGCCAGCATATTCTGTAAAGCAGTGTCAGATGTTGGAAAGGGCAGGTGAGAGGTGCTAGAGATGAGGGTGGTCTTCACTGGGTGTCCTTGAGGACTTTGAAGAGTCCTCAAGAGGGTATAGGGAGTGTGCTCTGCAAAGATCCCTCTGTTGATGTATGGCTTTCATACATCCAAAAATTCTTTGATACTCTTCCCTTTAAAAGGAGGAGTCTAATCCCTCCCCAAGATGTGTGCTAGACTTTGTGACTTGCGGCTGAGGATGGTGGCAGTGATCCTGTGTGACTCCCCAGCCTAGTTCATAAAAAGAACTGCATCTTCCTTCCTGGCCTGTTGGACTTGGACTGTTCACTGTCGGGGGAGCCAGCACCCTGTTGGGAGCTGCAGCACCCCATGGAGAGAAATGACTGCCACCTTGGACTCAAGGCCTCTGGCCCCAGTGAAGCCTGCAGTTGCTTCTAGTACCCCAGCCTTGCATCTTCCAGCTGCGGCTTAGACACCATGTTGCTGCGAGAAGCTGCCCCCATGGAGCCCTGTGCCCCTGACTGCAGGCCTCTCTCCAGTGTCCAGCTCCATAGCAAGACTTCCTGGGGTGGAGCCTCTACTTCAACTTCTGCCTGTCTTCGGTGCCTGGCTTTGGGAGTTAGTGTCTCCCATGGCCCATGTGCAGGAGAGGGAAGCATAGCCCCGGATGCTACTTGTTCATTTCCATCCACAGGTCATAGCCAATGGCTTGCACCCTGGCCTGTGGCTGCCTCTGAAAAACTTCAGGAGCATCAGAGGCTGCCTGGTAAGGGGGAACTGCACGGCCCTGGTGGACACAGCTGTTTGGTGAGCTGTGGGCTGCACCTGCCCTGGGATAGGATGGAGAGCTCTGTTGCCCACCCTGCCAGCACAGTGTTTTAGGAATGACCTCTGTTTCTGTTCCTCTGCCTCCACTCTGGGTCATCCTCCTCCCCCCACATTTCTCTTTAGTGTCCTGGTCTCCCACCAATGTCAGCTCCCCGCTGGAGACATTGTCTCCACAGCAGCTTGTACATCTCTGTCTCATCTGGGTGCTGACCTCAAGGTTTGGCTTTCTTGCCTTCATTTCACCCGGGATAGCTGGCCTGTGAGGAGCTGTCCCCGCCCCTCCCCCAGTCCCACAGAACAGTCTGCTCTTTTTGCCCTGACAGGCTCGCAGGGACTGGAACACTTGGGAGTTTCGTCTTTGGAACTCACAGTCTCTGTTCTTGTCTAGACTGCGCGGGTACAGCTCTCCTGGACACCGTGAACAGAAGCCACCCTTTGACTTACCCAAAAGAGGCTGTGGTGGGTTCAGGGTCCTGGTAAATAGTCATGAATAGGGGTCTCTTCCAGGTAGACAGCATTTGGCCTCAGAGTGGGAGGGGAGGGAGGTTCCACCTGCACAGACCAAAGGAGGAAAGATGGTTAGGTGGGGGCAGGGGGTGCTGGGTACCGTGTAGCACATGTATGGACCACCAGGAAGGGTGAGGGGTTTCTTAGTTGCCTGAACACAGCTTCATGTAGTGCTCACTGCATGCTGGGAGCCAGGTATGAATGGTGGGGACAGGCATGGATCTGTGCTCTGGAGAAGCCAATGTCACATGGTCACTTAGAATCGCCAACTAATCACAGTGATAGGAAATCAACAGAAGTCTTGCCATCTGGCTTTCCTTTGGGTTTGGCCAATGAAAGTGAGGGAAGGAGGCTAAGCGGGGAGGGGAGTGAAGATGGGGCACTGGCTCCCCTAGCTCCCTGCCTGGGGGCCCTCGGGGAGCTTCCTGTATCCGGGAGACTGGCTATGCCAGCCCTGAGCCCCACCCAAATCCCGTGCTGTCTACACCCCTGCACATGGAGCCCTAGTCAACTTCTCATCCTGCTACCCAGCCTGGATGTGCCCTCTGTCCTCCCAGGGTCCTGATGAATACACCCGCAATTGTCAAATGCGAGAAGTTTCTGTAAAGAAATGAGGGAAGGGAGCTCAGTGCTCATCACATTGGCATGGGGAGGGGTCGGGCCAGTCACTCTCTGTGATCCTGAGTGAGTTGCTTGGTCTCTCTGGGCCTCAGTTTCTTATCTACAGAGCCAGGAGGGTGGTCCTGGGCCCTCACAGGTGCCAACCTTCATGGGTGGGGTGAACTGGGGACAAGAGCTGACCCTGCAGTGACACAGTGTCCTCCAGGACATCCAAGGTTCTGATGCACTTGTATTCCTCTCCTCAGCATTCTGCCTAAGAAGCCTTGCTTTAAAAGCACCTCGCTTCCCTTTGCCTAGAAACACCAGGACCGGCACTGTTAGCAGAAAATTCCGCATCAGCCTCAGAGGGAGGAGTCCCAGGACTCCATATCTTAGGGCCTTGGAGACTGTGGCCTGCCCCAAATGCCTGGTATCACTGTCTCAAGGGACAAGCTCTATCTGTTGCTCTCAGACTTGTAGGCAATGATGGGACCGAGGGCATGCCACCTCCAAATCTGGTGCTTGGAGATCTTGGCTATGGGAAGTTGAAAGAAAGTGAGGAGCAGCAGGTACGGAAGGACCCAGTGGCCTTCTCCGAAACAGTCAGAAGACCTCACGTGAGGGGCGCCCTTAGCATCCTTTGCCCCTAAGGACATAGGGCACCTCAAGACATCTGAACGCATGGGCCTGGCTGCCCCCACTGTCACACAGGTGACAGTCGCTGGGTCCTCTTACCTCTCTCCGCACACCACTCTCCAGCACACCTGGCACTGAAACACTGAGGTGCCACTACGTCCTGCTCATTTCCTTGGGAGACTCCCGTGTCACATAGAGCTTACATTAGTAGATGTGTCTGTGGTTCTCTTACAAATCCGTCTTTCACTACAGGGGCCCCACCCAAGAGCTCAGAGGACAGAAGGAAGAATGTTTCTTTCCCTAGGTCTGCTGTCTGGCATTTTTCAGGCTGGGCATTTTAGTGGGACGCTTTTGCCACTGTGGGGGATGTAGACTCCATGGCGACCGAACCATCTAGTGTTTCCTTCTAATTAGGCCAAGGAGAACGTCTCAGCGTGGTGCTGGGTGTCTTCCATACCTCTCTAGTGTTTGTGATCTCCCTGCTGTGGCTTGAGTGTGTCCCTCCAGAGCTAGGGAAAGTCCTCAAGGCACTTGACCTTTTGCCTTCTACTATAAATTAAAGCATCACAGGCCCCTGTAGCCCCACTATCTTGGACATCCAGTTTCCAGAACCATGAACCCAAATGAATCTCTTTCCTTTATAAATTACCCAGAAACGGATGAAGATACTTCCTTTTAGCAAAGAGAGTAGGCTCATAGCTTTGGCTGGTCCCCCAAATCTAGCCAGGCTTTAATAGAATGCTTGTATTTTTATACCTGTCTCTTTTTTCTTCTCTTGGTTTTGTAAGACTGGGTCTTACTTTATAGCCAAAGCTGACTTTGACCTTGCGATCCTCCTGCCTCAGCCTCTCGAGAGCTGGGATTATAGGCACAAACCACCACAACCCAGCCTAGTTATCCCTTTTTAATAACAAATGATACATGCTTTCTGTTTACATTTAAAAATAAGTGCATATTAAAGAAACACTTACATAGCTGTTACAGATATGGCAGAACCCGTGGGTGTGAATGGTCAGATGTGAGATCCCAGCCCGAAAACATCTAGCTGGGAACTTGCATGACAAGTGGGGAAGCACAACCTGGCACTTTGGTGCGGGGGCTCTGGATGGGGTCCTCCTCCCTGGCACAGGCTATATAACCTCACAGGGTTTCATTCTTCTCAGCTGTACTATGGGTGTAAATTAGTGTAAATTAGTCCCTACCGCCTCTGGCTGCTGTGAGGAGTGGAATCAATCTGTGTTAAGTGCAGGAAACACATAGTCAGTGGGGTCACTGATGTAAGCTGCCCTTCCTACACCACTAGGGGCCCTGCCTCAGCCAGACAGGGCAGGTAGGGCTCAGGAGGAGTTCCTTCCACCCAGCCTGCTCCCCTACTAAATTCACAGACCAGCGAAGGCTTTGACAGACGGTCTTGGTGGATGGAGACAGTGTGTGTGGCTGGGACAGCTGTATCATGACCATCCACGGGAACCAGTGAGACTGGAGGTCCACCTGCGGTTCTAGGGCTTCTGCTCCACCCGTGCCTTTGCACGTGTGTGCATGTGTGTGTGTGCACGTAAGTTGTGAGGATGCGTCTGCTCCCTTGTCTTCAGTCTTGGAGGGAGGACTCTCCTCCTTCAACTTCCCACCTTCCACCCTCCACCATGCTGGCCAGGCTTGTCCACATCCCAATCTCTTGAACAATATTTTCTCTATCAGTAAGTAAAATCCTTCAGGCCACCTGACAAGCTGGAGTCAAAAAGCCAGAGCTGGAAAGAACCAAGGTCTCCTGAATCCCTTCCCCTGACATCTCTCAGGATAAATGTTTCCTCCCCAGCCTGATTTGCGTGATTTCTGAGTCAGGATGCTGTTTATAGACTGTCACTAGGTAAAGCTCCAGCCGCACACTGGGGGTGAGGGGAGTGGGGGGTCTCATGAATCAGCACAAGGCGTGGCCGAGGACAGTACCCAAGGAGCCCTTTTCCCTGAAAAGAGGAAGGCCAGGGCTGCCTATAGGGAGGGGGAAGACGGGGTGTGGGAAGTCAATGTCTGTTCTCCTAAAGAGAACTAAATTAGAAATTCGGATCCAATTGCCGACACATGCATGTGAGTCCTTCCAGCATTTGGACATTTTATGGGCTTGGAATGTTCTGGAAATACTTACTAAGGGACGGGGTAGGGACTCGTGGGGGGTGAGGAATGCTGAGAAGCAGAGCCTTCCGTGCCTGACTCGGCTCCCAGGGTGGGGGTGGGCTGCTCTATTCTTTTTCTTTTCTTGTTTGCTGGGTCTAGATTTTTCTGTTCAGCTTTCTTGCTGTTCCCTAATGCTGGGCTTTTGCAGTTTTAATAAGCAAGCAATTTCATCTGACATCCTAACACCCCTTGCCCTTAAAAAGAAATTAAAAATTTCCTTAAAAAAAGTAACCGCAGTAAAAAATGTTCAAAAATATTTTAGGCTCTAGGCCTAAACACAGCTCCTTTCATCTGCGACACTCAGCCATCTTTTTGTCTCCTGGGGTTTTATGGTTTATGTGAGAAGTCATATCCAGGGCGTTTCTTCCATGGCAAACACCTTTAACGGCCATAAAAACATGCCTCGTGTTTGTTTTTGCCGTTTATTAAGACTTTCCCTTTCCCAGCTCCTTCTTATTTAATGTGTTTTCATTCTGAGCACTCCTGCTCCCCAGGGCTTCCTCCTGATACAGCCCTCCTCCCTCTGCCAGTTGCTGCCCTCTTGTGGAGCCTCCTTCAAGTACTCTGCTCTGCTCAGTCCCCTGCTGTGCCACCTCTCACTAATCCATGCGCACTGTGAAGACGTTTTGTGGATGTGACGTGATTAGAGTCCACCATCAGCTGACTTTCAACAAGGGACAGTATACAGGATTATTTGGGTGGGCCTGGTTCAATCAGTGGAAGGAACGTAGAGGGGATCCCAGGTTTCACAGAGGAAGAAGGAGCTCTGCTTATGAGCAATAGCTTTAGTCCCTGCCCAGAGTCTATGCTGACCCTTCCTGAAGGCCTTCTTCAGATTTCAGAGTGCCTAACCAGATCCTCCAGGCATACAAGCCAACTCTTTGCTACAAATCTCATATTTCCATGGGTTCTGTTTCTCTGGTCAAACCCTGACTGACCCACACCCTGGAGCAGCATCTTCTCTCCCTTCTCTGCCCCTAGACATTTATTATATGGCACATCTACCATAATTGCCTGTTGCTGCCTCTTCCTTTCCCTGTCAATCGCCCAACATACCATAGTTACTCAATAAGTGATTGTTGACTGACAGATAGTTGCTTATTTCTCCAGCAGACATCTCTGCAGGATGGAGGCGAAGGGAAACAGAAGTGCATACTGTGTGTGCCTACTACCCGACCATATTGAGCGGTTGGTGAATATCATTCCCACATTCCAGATAAAAACACAGAGGCAGCAAAATAGCCGTAGCTAGTTCAAGCTCACCCAGCTAATCAGAAGCAGAACTGGGCTTCAAACCCAAGGTTACCTGAGCCCAGATGTCAAGTCCTGCTCTGCACTGGACTGGCTCCCCCCTGCACAGCTCCTGATGCAGGGCATGTCCTGAGCTGAGGACTTCTGGGCTCGTGAACGGCGTCCTGGAGGTGGGGACACTACCTCACATTCTCACAAGGAAGAAGCTCTGTGCAGGTGGCCGCCCAGGTGCAGCTGGCCACAGGAATGGGGCCTTTTGGGGGACAAGTAGCACAGGACAGGGAAACAGCTACCCCCAGGCAGCTGCCAGGTGAGCAATGTGGTTGTTCCTCACCCCTGGGCTCTGCTGGGT